TAAGAGAGACTGAGGCAGAAGGAATCAGAAGCTCGGGGGTAGAGGGAGCCGTGGATATAGGTGATGAGGATCGGACGGATGTTAGTAAAATTTGAGGTGAGCGGGAATTTCATTCCTAGAATTGTAGTGCTATTAAGGAGAGGATCCAATACTATGAAATATAGGTTTAGCTCCATAAAACAACATCTATAGCTGCTACTTAAAAACAAAGAAAAATAGCCTGAACATTTTATCAAACATCACATAGGCAGAATTAAAATAAAATTATTAGGTAGCATTACTTTATCAATTGAGAAGAGATGTCTTTTAACATGGTGGCTACACACAGTTAAATATGGTATGGTCAGCAATTTGTAAGGAATATACACTGAAGTGTAATAACAATAAGCAAATGCATACTGCGTCAATGTCATGCTTGAATAAAATGTATAAAGCTTAATAATTTGTGTTCTATATTAGAGACAAACTAAAAAATATATGCAAGAACTGAGATGCTTTACATGAACTGATATGAAATCAGAAGAAACGGCCATCGCTGAAGATGAATTTCATAAACATACCAGGATGGAGATGGCGATCGACTGGGATGAAGGTGAGGGCAGGAAGAAGATGATGGAGATCGACTGGGATGAAGCCTGGGCATGAAGAAGATGATGAAGTTTAACCGGATAGAGATGGCGTAAAATTGAAAGGGAGGTATGAAGAAATAGAAAGAGAAGGGAGTGATAACTTCCGGGCAGATGACTCCCAAGAATTTTTACGGAGCTTTCTTTTGTTTGAGAAGTAAGAGAGACTGAGGCAGAAGGAATCAGAAGCTCGGGGGTAGAGGGAGCCGTGGATATAGGTGATGAGGATCAGACGGATGTTAGTAAAATTTGAGGTGAGCGGGAATTTCATTCCTAGAATTGTAGTGCTATTAAGGAGAGGATTCAAAGTGTAGCTTTCACGGTTTCACCCAGAATATGTATCAAAAGTCTCTGCAGTGTAAGACATTTGAAAAAATAGAGGTGAAATTTAAGCAACGAATGGAACCAAGAAATGGAAAGAACGGTGGAAAGGACACTAAGAATGAAAAAAGAAGAAGATAAGATCAGAGAACACACACTTATAAATCAAAGCAGTAATGGAAAGTTTGGTTTTCTGCCAAAAATTTGGTTTTTTGTCAAAGTACATTAGCTACCTTTATCAGGATATATGGAAACCATAGTTTTAAGCCCTTAAAAAGCATCTTAAATACTTATGCAATACCAATAAGTATAATTGAAATCCCTAGAAGTATAATTAATGCTTTAACTTAATGAAGTGTGCTTGAAAACTCAAAAAGGTACTTTCGTTTTGGAGAGGTAGTACCGTAGTAGTAGTAATAAAAGAAGGTAGCACTTAAGATGATATTCTTAGAGCAAACTGACTCTCAAGTTTCTGATTTCAAAAGTAATAGTAAGCAACTAAAAAATGTATCGGTGTTCATAAGCTATGAAAGCAACTCATACAGTTTTCTTATCATTCTGAAACTAAAACAAACAATAAGTGGCCTAGATGATGGAGGAATGAATTTCAATCAGAAATTATGTAATTTGCTTGAATCAGAATTGAAATCAAGAAATATTTTATTCAAAATCTAACCTGGACATTTTATCAAACATCACATAGGCAGAATTAGAGAATACCAATACTATGAAATATAGGTTTAGCTCCATAAAACAACATCTATAGCTGCTACTTAAAAACAAAGAAAAATAGCCTGAACATTTTATCAAACATCACATAGGCAGAATTAAAATAAAATTATTAGGTAGCATTACTTTATCAATTGAGAAGAGATGTCTTTTAACATGGTGGCTACACACAGTTAAATATGGTATGGTCAACAATTTGTAAGGAATATACACTGAAGTGTAATAACAATAAGCAAATGCATACTGCGTCAATGTCATGCTTGAATAAAATGTATAAAGCTTAATAATTTGTGTTCTATATTAGAGACAAACTAAAAAATATATGCAAGAACTGAGATGCTTTACATGAACTGATATGAAATCAGAAGAAACGGCCATCGCTGAAGATGAATTTCATAAACATACCAGGATGGAGATGGCGATCGACTGGGATGAAGGTGAGGGCAGGAAGAAGATGATGGAGATCGACTGGGATGAAGTCTGGGCATGAAGAAGATGATGAAGTTTAACCGGATAGAGATGGCGTAAAATTGAAAGGGAGGTATGAAGAAATAGAAAGAGAAGGGAGTGATAACTTCTGGGCAGATGACTCCCAAGAATTTTTACGGAGCTTTCTTTTGTTTGAGAAGTAAGAGAGACTGAGGCAGAAGGAATCAGAAGCTCGGGGGTAGAGGGAGCCGTGGATATAGGTGATGAGGATCGGACGGATGTTAGTAAAATTTGAGGTGAGCGGGAATTTCATTCCTAGAATTGTAGTGCTATTAAGGAGAGGATACCAATACTATGAAATATAGGTTTAGCTCCATAAAACAACATCTATAGCTGCTACTTAAAAACAAAGAAAAATAGCCTGAACATTTTATCAAACATCACATAGGCAGAATTAAAATAAAATTATTAGGTAGCATTACTTTATCAATTGAGAAGGGATGTCTTTTAACATGGTGTCTACACACAGTTAAATATGGTATGGTCAGCAATTTGTAAGGAATATACACTGAAGTGTAATAACAATAAGCAAATGCATACTGCGTCAATGTCATGCTTGAATAAAATGTATAAAGCTTAATAATTTGTGTTCTATATTAGAGACAAACTAAAAAATATATGCAAGAACTGAGATGCTTTACATGAACTGATATGAAATCAGAAGAAACGGCCATCGCTGAAGATGAATTTCATAAACATACCAGGATGGAGATGGCGATCGACTGGGATGAAGGTGAGGGCAGGAAGAAGATGATGGAGATCGACTGGGATGAAGTCTGGGCATGAAGAAGATGATGAAGTTTAACCGGATAGAGATGGCGTAAAATTGAAAGGGAGGTATGAAGAAATAGAAAGAGAAGGGAGTGATAACTTCTGGGCAGATGACTCCCAAGAATTTTTACGGAGCTTTCTTTTGTTTGAGAAGTAAGAGAGACTGAGGCAGAAGGAATCAGAAGCTCGGGGGTAGAGGGAGCCGTGGATATAGGTGATGAGGATCGGACAGATGTTAGTAAAATTTGAGGTGAGCGGGAATTTCATTCCTAGAATTGTAGTGCTATTAAGGAGAGGATACCAATACTATGAAATATAGGTTTAGCTCCATAAAACAACATCTATAGCTGCTACTTAAAAACAAAGAAAAATAGCCTGAACATTTTATCAAACATCACATAGGCAGAATTAAAATAAAATTATTAGGTAGCATTACTTTATCAATTGAGAAGAGATGTCTTTTAACATGGTGGCTACACACAGTTAAATATGGTATGGTCAGCAATTTGTAAGGAATATACACTGAAGTGTAATAACAATAAGCAAATGCATACTGCGTCAATGTCATGCTTGAATAAAATGTATAAAGCTTAATAATTTGTGTTCTATATTAGAGACAAACTAAAAAATATATGCAAGAACTGAGATGCTTTACATGAACTGATATGAAATCAGAAGAAACGGCCATCGCTGAAGATGAATTTCATAAACATACCAGGATGGAGATGGCGATCGACTGGGATGAAGGTGAGGGCAGGAAGAAGATGATGGAGATCGACTGGGATGAAGCCTGGGCATGAAGAAGATGATGAAGTTTAACCGGATAGAGATGGCGTAAAATTGAAAGGGAGGCATGAAGAAATAGAAAGAGAAGGGAGTGATAACTTCCGGGCAGATGACTCCCAAGAATTTTTACGGAGCTTTCTTTTGTTTGAGAAGTAAGAGAGACTGAGGCAGAAGGAATCAGAAGCTCGGGGGTAGAGGGAGCCGTGGATATAGGTGATGAGGATCGGATGGATGTTAGTAAAATTTGAGGTTAGCGGGAATTTCATTCCTAGAATTGTAGTGCTATTAAGGAGAGGATACCAATACTATGAAATATAGGTTTAGCTCCATAAAACAACATCTATAGCTGCTACTTAAAAACAAAGAAAAATAGCCTGAACATTTTATCAAACATCACATAGGCAGAATTAAAATAAAATTATTAGGTAGCATTACTTTATCAATTGAGAAGAGATGTCTTTTAACATGGTGGCTACACACAGTTAAATATGGTATGGTCAGCAATTTGTAAGGAATATACACTGAAGTGTAATAACAATAAGCAAATGCATACTGCGTCAATGTCATGCTTGAATAAAATGTATAAAGCTTAATAATTTGTGTTCTATATTAGAGACAAACTAAAAAATATATGCAAGAACTGAGATGCTTTACATGAACTGATATGAAATCAGAAGAAACGGCCATCGCTGAAGATGAATTTCATAAACATACCAGGATGGAGATGACGATCGACTGGGATGAAGGTGAGGGCAGGAAGAAGATGATGGAGATCGACTGGGATGAAGCCTGGGCATGAAGAAGATGATGAAGTTTAACCGGATAGAGATGGCGTAAAATTGAAAGGGAGGTATGAAGAAATAGAAAGAGAAGGGAGTGATAACTTCCGGGCAGATGACTCCCGAGAATTTTTACGGAGCTTTCTTTTGTTTGAGAAGTAAGAGAGACTGAGGCAGAAGGAATCAGAAGCTCGGGGGTAGAGGGAGCCGTGGATATAGGTGATGAGGATCGGACGGATGTTAGTAAAATTTGAGGTGAGCGGGAATTTCATTCCTAGAATTGTAGTGCTATTAAGGAGAGGATTGTAGTGCTATTAAGAAGAGGATTGTGAGATAAAAAATGAGATCACCTATAAGGATGGATAAAAGACCAATAAATAAGTGGGTCCTGCACATAGTAGATCTATAAAACACTGCCCACTTTGATGTGTTCAAAATTTCAAATATATCAAACGGTCATGATACCTACCAGCCATTCACTTACGAGTATTTGATTCTTGACACCCCGCCCCTCTCAATTCGAAAACGACCATTTCCCCCAAAACCCTTTTCCCCCGATTCCTTCCCTTCCAGAGGCTCTGCTCTGCATTTCTCCCATTCCTCTAGTTGCGCCTACGATGCCCTTGATTTCAGAGGCACAGAGTGCCATGAAGTCCAGATTCGGATTCCATGACCTCAATCACAGTTCGTCAGAGCAGACACCTCAGGCGATGCTGGCGGTCAAGAGCTCGCCGGATCTCCGGATGCTGAAATCAGCTTGCAAAGAGAGGAAAGAGAACCACGATGCTGACACTGCACAAACCGCGTCGTCTGACCAACAACGGAGCTTTGAGTTCCGTGAAGACCCGGCATTCTGGAAAGAACATAATGTTCAGGTGCTGTATGAGTGTCTTTCATGTGGGCGCAGATTTTAATTTCCCATCTGTTTCCGGAAAACTCTCCATATGTTATTACCTGAAATATCGTTTTTGTTTGTATATCCTGAATAAAATCGTGCATGGAGGAAAATTGACAGCAACCTTGGCAGAGTCCGCTGCTATTGCTAATTAGTAACAATACTGCTTTCTAAACTTACAGCGCTAGAGTAGAAATGACGGGATTTGTCTTCTATAGAAATGCAACGTGGATGACACATGAACACGATGAAATATGATTTTTAAATAGCTTTTATTTTATTGCCAGCAAACAGTACTCATGAGAAAATTAGTATTGAAGAAACTATTTTCGAGTGAATGGTGGTAGTTATGATTACAAGTGTGAAGTAATTATTGAAACACAAAATTAAGACTTGGTTTAAAATTTAGTCGGAATTTTAAATTCCCAATAGCTGGGATTTTCATCGGTTTCAGATTTGCAGACCTTTAAGAGGCAAAAGCTGCATGTTACACTCTTCCATATTTAACATACATATGTGAAATGTTAAGATATTGACTATAATCACATATTTTTACATCAGTAACAAAGAAATTTTGATAAAAACTGGAGAAACATATACTACGTATGTAGGAAACCATTTATCATATGTTTGTGTTTGTGTATAATATGTAAATGTAATTATGCAAACAAATGTTCATATGTACGTATATATACTTGTGTATACGGTATACCTTTACACGACATACACTTTAATAAAGTGTATCAAGTTAAAGAAAGTGCTACGAAGCATTGCAATGTCTTTCTGTTGCTCACACACATGTTGTTATGCTTGACTGATTTAAGCAGGTCATTATCAGAGTACGTCCCTTAAGTGGTTCAGAGATATCTTTGTATGGGCGTAGCCAATGTGTTAAGCAAGACAGTTCACAGACAATAACTTGGACTGGGCATCCAGAGTCACGCTTTACGTTTGACCTCATCGCAGATGAAAATGTTACTCAGGTATGCCTTTCTTAGCATATATTTTCTTCTACTTTCTTGTCTTTTAGGTGAAAGGGTCGTCTTCCGTCCTATATTAAAGAGGTACCTCAATTCTTGTTTCATATGGGAGTGCAGACATTCCGGCTGTATACATTTAAGATTTGACGTTTTCACGTTTTGAACTAAATAGGAGATGCTATTTAAAGTTGCCGGAGTGCCCATGGTTGAAAACTGTGTGGAAGGTTACAACAGTTGCATGTTTGCATATGGCCAAGTATGTTACCTATTTGTCTTTTCAAATTTCTTGTCTTCGTTCTCTCAAGTGTGAGTTAAAATGATAACTACGTAAGTGTAAAACCATGGGTTATTTTATGGTGCATAGACTGGAAGTGGAAAGACACATACAATGCTCGGAGACATTGATGGCGGCACCAGAAGACATAGTGTAAACTGTGGAATGACACCTAGAGTCTTTGAATACTTGTTTTCAAGAATGCAAAAGGTACAGAACTACAGATGCTACATAATACCCCCGGTCTTTATTACAAGATTCACATTCATAAATGAATACTTCTAAAATTAAGACATTGACCAATATTTATTAGGAGAAAACAATGGAAGCAACAATATATATTTCATAGATGAAAAACAATGTCTTACAAAGAACAATCCAATCCTACTAAAAATTGCTATAGTAAGAACTGGGGTAATTATTATGAAAGAGAGGAAGGGGATAGAAATGCCCATTTATCTGAGGAGTCTTCAAGTTAAAGATTTATGCATGAAAATTCTTTTATAAGATTTATGCCTGTAAGTTCTGTTTAATTTTAATATATGCTTTTGGGAGTTGATCTTCAAGTTAAAGCTTTTTGCCTGCAAATCCTCACAAGGCTTTATTTGTGCTTGAATTCTTGACATTTTCAATGGGACCTAATGTTTAGTTAGGGATTTACAAATTGACCCAGGAAAAGGAGGCACGCAGGGAAGAGAAGATAAGATTTATTTGCAGGTGTTCTTTCCTAGAAATATACAATGAACAAATTCTTGATCTCTTGGATCCGTCCTCTGTTAATTTACAGGTACAGAATATTCATTTTACAACGAACAAATTCTTAATCTCTTTGATCCTACCTTTGTTATTTTGCAATGAACTTATGATCATATTCATTTATATTTTCTTCTTAAGCATCTAAAGTGTTTTTTTGGTAAAAATGTCTATGGACAAGGAAAGTTTTATTTATGGTCCATCTATAAATGGTAGTAAGTAAATAGAAACAAATGTTTACTTTGTTATTATTATTTTTGTATTTTTTAACATGAAAGAACAACTCTTTTACCTTTACTTTCAACTGATAATGCGTTAATACAATGAATTGTTACAATTCCTTCCATTTGATTGTGTCATATATATACAAATATTTCATTGATTTCCTCTCTGACATAATATTTCTGCTCTTTCCATACGATCGATCAGTTCAACTTTCATTGATATGATTACATAAAATGTTGTGATTTGATACAAAAAGATTCTTCAAGTTATTAAGAACTCCAGTTTTATTTTTAACAAGTTCCTCATGCCTTGCTCAAGTGCTTTCAAAAACTGTGTTGCTTGAGCTAATTAAATGGTAGGGAAATGTTATTTCTACACCACATGAACACTAACTAGTTTTATCTGACAATCTAGATAAGAGAAGATACAAAGAAAGGGATTCATGTAGAAAATCTCACTGAGGTAGAAGTAACAAGTGCTCGAGACGTCATTCAACAACTTGTTCAGGTACATGTTGTCTTGTACCCTAGTACATATCAATTATCACTGCATCTGGGATTGAATATTTGAGATCTACGTCAGTTCCTGGGGAAGTAAAATCTTTACCATAACTACATCTTGGTAGAATACTATGTTTCCATAGTTTTATATAGAACATGTTTAAACTATTACTACCTCCGTCCCATTTTATGTGTCTCCTTTGACTTTGGCACAATTATTAATAAAATGGTTGAAAAGATAAAAGTTGTGGTTGAGATTCGAGTATAATAAAGTGAAATGCTGTGGACCACATATTTTTTTTCAAAAAGGGAAAGGTGACACTTATTTTGGGACAACCCAAAAAGGAAAGTAGGACAGGTAAAATGGGACGGAGGGAGTATTTTATTTCAACTATTTTCAGTTTTTCTGAGGTTTATAGTTTGTTAGGCCAAGTGGTTTTAAGTATCCCATGTATGTTTGGACTTAGGTGAGCTAATTAGCTCTTTGTTCTACTCAGTTCTATAGTAAGTAGCTAGAAAAGCGCTGCTATAGTTTTAAAAACTTGGGGGTGCATTGATGTGTAAGCTACAGAATATCCTGGCAAAATTTCAAAAATAAAGTTGAAAAAACAGTTTACCTTCCTTGAATTTATGGGATATATAAGATGGAGGGCTGTGGAGTGTGTGGGCTTTCTTTTTAGGTGGCTAGGCATGCCAAATAAATCTGATATATTGGATTTGCGCTTTCTGTGTTTTATATCAGAATAGGAAAAGGCTTGTTTTAGCTGTTTTGAAATAACTTTTCCAATGTACAGGGTGCTGCAAACAGAAAGGTTGCTTCTACAAATATGAATCGTGCTAGTAGTCGCTCACACAGTGTATTCACTTGTGTTATTGAAAGTAAGGTGAGATTTGTATTCAACTTTTTTTTTTCTATTTCTTCTTGCCTTGTGTGCTTTTGATAGTGGGATTTGATTTGCAACTTCAATCTTATGTATGCACTCTTACACAGTGGGAGTCCCAAGGTGTAACACACCATCGGTTTGCACGACTTAACCTTGTGGATTTGGCAGGTTCTGAAAGGTAAACATAATAATGAGAATGAAACACTTGTAGAGTTTAAATGATGCCACTTGACAATGTGCTTTGTAATTGTGCTTTACCAGGCAAAAAAGCTCAGGTGCCGAAGGTGAACGACTAAAGGAAGCTACTAACATCAACAAATCTCTCTCAACATTGGGGTTTGTTGTTCTCGTATCACTATTTGGTTGTCCGACTATTAGTTTGTCTTATGTTTTTGAAAATAAACTGGTTTAGCAATGTACAGGCTTGTGATTATGAACCTTGTTAACATGTCCAATGGGAAGTCACTCCATGTTCCTTACCGAGATTCAAAGTTGACATTTTTGTTACAGGTAAAAAGTCATGATTTAAGCTTCACTAATAGAAAGGCCTATTGTTTCTTAAATTGTTGTCAACCAGAGAGTAGTTGTCCTACTCTTACAGTATAATTGTCCTTTTCAGGACTCATTGGGAGGGAATGCGAAAACAATTATAATTGCGAATGTGAGTCCTTCCAGCAGGTAACAGTCTCATATGCTTGATACCTTCTTCCAATCAAGTTTGTCTTAATAGGAGTAACGTTTTGGCCAAAAGTAATGATTAATGTTAACCAAATGTTCAAATAAAGAAACAAATATCTATGACTGGGCTTTTGCAGTTGCTCCCTCGAAACTCTTAGCACATTGAAGTTTGCTCAGCGTGCCAAATTCATAAAGAATCATGTATGTGTTTTTCTTCATCTTGAAGGCTTCACTACTATTATTAAGCTAGTCCATCATGCATTCTTACTGAAACTTGCAGTCCATAATACCTTGCTTTTGTTTAAGAATGTTGCAAAATATTAAGATGCAGTTTTGCCAAGAATGAAATTTACAACATTAGTGATTTATATAATAGCTATTTGATTGTGCATTCTTGACAAACGCTATATAAAGAGCTAATTAAAGTTCCGAACCTTTTCATTTTCCTCTCCCACAACTCTTAAACTTCCATGCGCAGGCTGTTATAAATGAAGCCGCTTCTGGAGATATTCTTGCAATGAGGGTGCAGATTCAAAACCTGAAGGTATGAATTGTAGCCACATCATCCCTACTCTAATAATTGAAGACCATAATAATAGCTTCATCTTTCCTAGGGGAAGACTCTGTACAAATATTATAACAAAACAACTAATTTATCCCAATGTTCAAATAAAGATATTATAACAAAACAACTAACTTATCCCAATCTTCAAATAAAGTGACACTAAATCCAAATGCTGTTTTAAAACCACAACATTTTCAAACCAAACAATACATTTGCAAAAACACTATACTTTCACTTTTCAATCCATAAAGTGATAAAACCCAACACCCCATTTACATATGTTTTGTTTCTTTGTTGTTAATCTTTTATGTGCTGCATCAAGTGATACAATTATAAATACCCCCGTTTTAAATTAGAATTTGATGCTTGTTATCTGGGTTCTCTCAAAGGTTTCTCATGTGTATTTTAGTAAAAGAATGTGAGGTTCCACTTTTGCTTCGCTTATAGATATAGGCATTTTATCCATGTAAGCATTCACTTTCCAGTACTAGAATGCATGTAGGATGCTGTTCTTATATTATACATTGTTTGATGAAGATGTTTGGTCAGGTCCATTAATGATAATGGATATGCCAACCTAAGTAAAACGATCCTGCATAATGTTAATTCTGAGCTTCTCATGTGTATTTTAGTAAAAGAATGTGAGGTTCCACTTTTGCTTCGCTTATAGATATAGGCATTTTATCCATGTAAGCATTCACTTTCCAGTACTAGAATGCATGTAGGATGCTGTTCTTATATTATACATTGTTTGATGAAGATGTTTGGTCAGGTCCATTAATGATAATGGATATGCCAACCTAAGTAAAACGATCCTGCATAATGTTAATTCTGAGCTTCTATGAATTCTTCTTTTCATCTCCAGAAAGAAGTTGCCCGTCTTCGGAGTATGGTTAATGTAGGTGCTGATGCTTGTGAAGTTGATTCGAGGACTGTAGCCTTACCAGGATCACCAACATCAATTAAATGGGAAGGAATTCACGGACTATCAAGCCCACTTGCATCTGACAAAAAGATGTCATATGTATGTGATATTCTTTGCAGTTAGTAGACAAATACTAGTATCTTTTTTTGTTCTTGGTGAAAATTTGAATCTGGTATAATTTCAGAAAAAAGACTACGAAGTTGCCCTGGTTGGAGCGTTCAGGAGGGAAAAGGATAAAGACACCGCTATGCAGGCTTTGACTGCTGAAAATCAGGCCGCTATGCAGCTGGTATGCTCATTTCATTGTCATATGCTAAGTACCACATGTGATGGATGAAACCACAGAATCTGATCCTGCTTATTTTTGCTCGCTAGGCAAAACAAAGAGAAGATGAGATACAAGGACTGAAGATGAGACTAAGGTTTCGTGAATCTGCCATCAAAAGGCTGGAATCAGTTGCTTCGGGGAAAATCTCTGCTGAGACTCACTTGTTGAAAGAGAAAGAAGAGCATTTGAAGGAAATTGAAGTCCTGAGAAATCAAGTTGATCGTAACCAAGAAGTGACTAGATTTGCTATGGAAAACCTGCGATTAAAAGAAGAGATTAGAAGGTACATACATTAATATGTTTTTTCTTTTCTTTTCGTCTCCTCAAACCAAAGATTAAATGATCGATCACTGCTCCAGACCTACACAAGTGGAGTTCCATTAATTTTACCTGTGAGTTGTTGCATTAAATACAGATTGAAATCTTTTTATGAGGAAGGTGAACGCGACAGAATGAATGAGCAGGTCATGATACTAGAGAACCAGGTAATTTCATTTATGAAGTATTAAGTCTTGAATTAAAAGAAGCAATTACATTCTGATGGTCTATTGAATGTCATTCTTTGGACTGTGCTCAGTTACAGTGAACTACATTCTTTTTTCCCTATGGGACTGACTACCTTTCATATGGCAGTTGCGAGAAGCTCTAGATTGGAAACTTATGCATGGCTCTGATGACATTGATACCCAGGTTCATTTCCCATTCACTCAGGACACATGTATTTGAATACTTATTCGTTGCCTAATGCCATTAAACCATTGAATGTTATAAAAAGGAAATGTTCGGAGTTCATAAATGACACGTTCATTTAAACATTTCCACTGCAGAAACCAGCCCAACCTATGCATACAGCTGTTGATGAGGAAAATGAGTTCCTCCGCTTGCAGGTGATTTTACATTTTCACCAACAGAATTGAGCAAAATACAAGAAATCAATTAGAACCATGTAATTCTGTTGAATTTTACTCTGCTAAAAACTTAACCATTCTTTTTGCTTCAGGCTATTTACAACCAGTCAGAATTGGATGCACTCCGTAAAAAACTTGACATTTGTGTCGAGGAGAAAGAAAAATTGGAAAGGTGGGGGTTTCCAATCCTTACATGTATTGTGTGTGATTAGTTTCCTGGAAATCTACAAACTTATATAATATGAAGTTGTTGACATCCTGCGTTTTACCCTTGCAGGCATTTAAGTGAGATGGTAAAAGAGTTGGAATCTGAGAGATGTTCCAAAGCAGCTATGATGGAGGAAGAATCTCTCAAATTGCAAACCAGTCTTTCTTCTCTAGAGAATAACTTCCAGGTGCCAAATATTGGAGTCAGCGATCAGGTGGAGCTTGAAACAATGGTTGATGCTATAGCAGCTGCAAGCCAAAGAGAAGCCGAGGCTCATGAAACCGCTATTTCTTTGACCAAAGAAAACGATGAACTAAAAATAAAGATCAAGGTGTTAATTGAGGACAACCAAAAACTCATAGAACTCTACGAACACACGGTTGCAGATAATAAGAACAGTGCTAAACCTGCTGAAAAGGGTTTTGAGTTGTTAACTGAAGATACGGAACAGTTAAAAAGGGAAGTCGAGCTACTACAAAATCAACTTGCGGAAATGCATGAAGAAAAAGAAAAACTGATGGGTCTTTATGAGAATGCTGTGGAAGAAAAGAAAAGAGATGTTGAATGCCTAAATCTTCAACTTGCGGAAATGCATGAAGAGAATGAAAAGTTGATGAGTCTATATGATATTGCCATGCAAGATAAGAAAAGAGATGTTGAACACTTGAACAATCAAATTGTGGAAATGCATGAAGAGAATGAAAAATTGATGGGTCTTTATGAGAATGCTATGGTAGAGAACCGAAGAGGCATTGGAAGCCTAGATAATCAACTTGTAGAATTGCATGAAGAAAATGATAAACTGATGGGCCTTTACGAGAAAGCAATGCAAGAGAGAGACGAATTCAAAAGGTTGCTTTCTTCTGCTACTGAGAAGAAACCATTTGAGAATGAAGAGGAGGTTCACAATCAATATTTAGAAGAATTAGAAGATCATAATAATAAAAATAATAGTGCATCTGGAAATCCATTTGAAGAAGCACATGAGGATGATGCTAGCTGCTTGATCGAAATAGATGTGCAGGACGAATACAGTCAATATTCCGTCCGTTCTTACACAGCCAATGATTCAGATTCAGAGGACCTTCCTCCTTCCTGCAAGGTTTCTGCTGGGGTCAATGTGGAAGCGACAGAGTCGGTAAGAAGGAAGCTGTACAAAGCACAAGAGAAGCTACTGAAATCCGCAGACACAGTCAGCATGTTTGGTTCAGTGGAGAGAGCGCTGCTCGAGATTGATGAGCTTTCAAGGAGAATCATGGGATTGAAAGATAGCATTCAGGGTAAACGTCAAGTTTATGAATCATTGAAGATTGTATCTTCAGAATTGCAAGATAATACATCCATAGCTTATAAAAAGCTGTCTGCATTGAGATACTCAATGTCAAGCTTCTATTCTTCAGTCAGTTTCTTCGAGCAACATGGAACCCTAGCAAGGGAGAAGTGGAACACTTCCCTAACACATCTCAACAAAAAGAAATCAGAATTAGCTCATCTCCAAGCATTGAAGGATGAACTTATGGGTCTGCACGCGAAAGCCAAAAGGTCCGAGTCTGAACTGAGGTGCCACTTGGATCAACTGAAAACAAGACTGGAGGAAGAGAGCCAGAGACTTGACCATGACAGGGTTCTGTTTGCCATAGACAACAATGTCGGAAAACCTGAAGTCCGCGGAAAAGCTACAGAACTGCTCAAGTCCGCGGAGGAGACAACAAAGATACAAAACCAGGTAAAACAGTGTCAAGAGAAACTAGGGGCGTTGAAAACAGAAATTGATGATTTGAACAGGAGAAGTGCAAAGGTGAATGGTCAGATCAACACTGTTGAAAAAGAGGTGAAGAGGTTCTCCGTTTCAGCACAGGAGATGGAAAACAGGGTTCAGACCATCACGCGTGAGAACGAAATGGTGTTGGAAATGAAGGAAGAGGGGAAGAAGGAAATAGGGGGGAAGATTGTGGAGTATCAGCAGTGCGTGTTTGAGGCAGCTTTGAAGGGTGAAGAGATTGCTGTGTTGGATGAGGAGTTGCGAACGGAGTTGCAGGAGATGGATGAATTGAAGAGAGCCAGAGATTCTGGTAAACAGGAGATCCGTCAGCTGTTGGCGGGTTTGATCAAGTATGAATACTGCAATCCATCAATACATGTATAGAGCATATGACAGTTAACATTATCTTTTTAACTGTCATGAGATTCATGGTTCATGGTTTGTAATACGCCCCAACTGCATTACATCTGAGTATCTGACAGGACTATTGAACCCCTTGCTACTATGTGAGGATGTAATATTCATTTGTAATGTTCATTTCTATAATATGAGAGCTACACCCTTTTGTTGTATATTTTTTTATTTTTTCTTTGTATATAAGGACTATCTAACTCTTTTAAGGCTTTTTATTCATATTGCTCTCAATTCCCGTAGTGGTATTTTTGTTCATATTGACTATTGTTCCCAATTTGATACGTAGGTATTGTATTATCAGAGTTAAGAAGGATAATAACGTAAAGCCAAAGCTCATTAAAGAAAAGAAAATCAATAACAATGAATACATCTAGATAACTATACACCAGTTACACTGTTTTATACGTAGTACAAAAGAATTCAATAGAATCAAACCAATCAATCATACATACACGAAGCCAAGAATTTCAAGATTGACCGAATAATAGAAGACATGTGCAGATGAAGATTTAATATTATGTAAACTTGGATAATAGAATAATGATAGCAATCAAGCCATCATGATCTTGAACTCATCAAAGCAAAGAACCCCATCTCCATTGAGGTCAAACCTGCTAATCATAGCTTCACAATTCCCAATGGTGGTTGACTCCCCAAGCCTGCTCAGCATCCTCTTCAAGCTCTTGGGAGTTATGTGCCCTGTCCCCTCCATTTCATACCTCCCAAAAGTCTCCCTCAGCTCATCATCACCCCCCTCCCCAGCCACCCCCGTACCCTTCTCTTCTTCCATCATCTTGGTGAAGTCCTCAAGGCCCAACATCCCGTCCCCGTCGGAATCTGACAACCTCACCGCCATCTCCGCCTCCTCCGCTGTCAGCTCCCCTCCTACTGCCCTCACCGCCCTCTGCAGCTCCTCTGCGGATACCCTCCCGTCTCCGTTCTCATCAAAGTAGGCGAAAACCCTCTCAAAGCCAAAACCACTACGACCTTTCTGTTCTGATGATGAAGCAGAGGTTGTAGCAAGCGGCCCAATATGCATGTGGCTGTCTTCTTCCACTTTTGATCTATTTCTGAGTATCTTCTTACACAATCTCTTGAACCCAGAATTCTCGGAAGAAGAAGTCTTGTTCTTGGTGTTGATCATGGAATTTGATACCATGAAGATTATATGTACGTACTTGATCTGTATGTATGAAGGCTGAATCTGTTGTTTTGGATATATATGCTGCTAACATATGGTTGTGTCTGTATATATAGCACATATGGATATTGTGGGCTGGAGAATAGGTAATTAAAATGGCGGTTTGCGGCCGTTGAGAGGGGCAATGCGCGTACGGAATCTTCATAGAAAGTACCACGGTTTGAAAATAAAAAACGTACGTTTTACTTCGCAGGACCTAAAAATGGACCTTTATTTCATCTTTGTCGTATTTCACCTAGGCGGTGGTTAAAACTCGAAAACTTTCGATTTAAGCCTACTTTGATTCATTATACAATGTTCACCCTTCCTCTCAAAGTATTTTGTAATTAATAATAGTAATAAAAAATCAGGAAAGAGACTAAAAAATCTTTTAAATTGAAAAATCAAATAAAAAATGATTACAGATCGATAAATCGACAATCAATTATTAGAGTATAAAATGATATGGCCGGCAACGGATAAATATTATTTACGGCTCTCTGTACGTTCTAAAATAGACTTGGTAGTGTAGTCAAAATGTCAAATTAGGGGGTTTTGGACTTTCCTATTATGCCCGCAATAAAGTAGATAAATTGTAGCGCGAGAGAGAAAGTAGTGTAAAGCAGGAAATAAAGTAAGAATATAAGAATAATTTTATATTAAAAAGTTGTTAAAAATAGAAGTGTGAAATTTATTTTTGACCTACCAAAAAAATAAAGTGTGAAGTTATTTTGGGATCGAAAGGAGTAGGTAATAAATTAAAGTGAGAGGCTCATGCTAAAAAAAGTACCTGATAAGAGTATCATTTCATATATTTCAAATTTCTTTATTACTCCTTCAAAAGTGCCGTAGAAAATGAAGTATCGTATCCACCATAATTCGATATGCGTCTTCTTGGGTTGGATGAGAGTATGACTTTGGAGAGAGCAAAGTGGAAGGCGCACATTCGTGTGGACGATTGATGTCTTGTCTACCTTTCCTCTCTTTTTTCTTTTATCGTTTATCTTCCTTATCTTTTTATATTCTTATGTTATTTTTTTTTCTAGCTTTTTTATGCTCTTTTATTTTTTATCTTTTGTTTTTGTTATATTCTTGTGTTATTGTTATCTTATATTTATTTATCTTTATTTTATTCATTTTATGTTACTTTTTTTTTCCTTTTCTTGTCCGTCTTCACTTTTTGGCATCGATATCATAGATCGATTCATGTTAGCCAACCCCAAATTCTTTTGGGATCAAGGCCTGGATGTTGTTGTTTGTATCTTTGACGAAATGTGTTCATCATGAAGTCTAAACAACGACCATTCTTTCGCATTTTATTTTACCTTGATTCTCTCATATTCTAATCATGATGTATTTATATAATTTGTAGCTATTTGCCTATTTGAGTTATATCTCTCATAATGATTTCATTGGAATGTGTCTACCAAAAGATATACTCACCAAATTACTTATTCATTATGAGTTGGGCGCCGTCCAAATAGCCATTTTCATGCTATAACTCTCCTTCATCTCTAGATATTTCACCTTTTGGGTACGTTTGGGTAATAGCGGACTGACTTCGATCCACCATTTTTTACAAATGAAAACGCTGCATTTTGGGTACGCTGCATTTTGCAGCGGTTTTGGTCCGAATCCGCCAAAAAGTCGTTTTATCTTTCGTTAATACCAATCCTTTTATTTCTAACAAACTTGTGAGTTGCAGACTGGTTCCCTAGCATTACGATTTTTTTCTTCCACTGCCTTATCTTCCGATCAAGGTTGGTGCGGCTTTTGTTGGAAAAATGTGTTAAAAATTGCATTAAATGATCATTTTGGGGAAATTATTTGAGTGGGGTCCACTTCCGATTTGGGTCGGGTCAAAGTGGTTTCGGATTGTCCTTGTTAAGGGCTACAATTCGATATGTGGTACACTCAAAACGGATAACGGGTGAATGAGAAATTGATTCTCGAAGTTCACTCGTTGAAATGGAAAAACTGGGAAAATGATGAGTTTCTAGTGTGTTTTATCCCACACCGAAAAACTCAAGGGATTTTCACCCCCTTATAAAGGGAAGCCTCTTTTAAGGAGTTAAGATTCATAAGGGTAAAGGCTCTCTCTTACGCGCAGGGGGGGGTGCCGATCAAAAAATCCCGAAACGGAGAAGAAAAACCGCGACTCGTGTTCGCGGGCGACCTGCGGACACGAATGTCGTCCGAAAACCTATCATTCAACAGAGACCCGCGAGGCATCATTCTGTTCGCAACAGAGACGCTTCAGGCCTTCTGTTCGCAACAGAAGGTCTTCTGGTCCGTTACAACAATTAATGCCCAACGTTTTTCTCTTTTAATGCTGCGTTAAATGGACAGTTTATGGACGATTCAATGCCCAATGGACTGGTCATTGATGTCCAACGTTCAGGTCCATTAACACATCATTTAACACACAACAAATCCTCCTATAAATAGCTGGCAGGTGCTTTGCAACAAACACACGGTTTGACAACACACAATACATTCCTCACGTTTTCTTGAGCGAAAAACACTTCCAGCCACTCCCAAATTTCCTAAGTGTTCTTGCTATGTTCCAGTTCGCCGGAACTTTCGTTTGTGTGCTCAAACGATCGTTCGTTAGCTACCGTATCCTGGGAAATGGTCGTTGCAACGCTCCTAGCACCGTGGGAGGCGACAAATACGTTTTAAGGACATCGTGCGTAGCACGAGCTCTGGCTAAAATCTGTTCCATCTTATTTTCTGTTTTCTTTTAGCTATTTTGTTTATTAATTAATTTTATTTAATTAATATTTCTTCGTTTTTTCCGAAACATGTTGGGTGTGTTTCGGAAAAAAACGAAGAAATATTAATTAAATAAAATTAATTAATAAACAAAATAGCTAAAAGAAAATAGAAATTAAGATGGAGCAGATTTTAGCCAGAGCTCGTGCTACGCACGATGTCCTTAAAACGTATTCGTCGCCTCCCACGGTGCTAGGAGCGTTGCAACGACCGTTTCCCAGGATACAGTGGCTAACGAACGATCGTTTGAGCACACAAACGAAAGTCCCGGCGAACTGGAACAATAGCAGAACACTAGGGAAATTTGGGAGTAGCTGGAAGAGTTTTTAGCTCAAGAAAACGTGAGGAAAGTGTTGTGCGTTGTCAAACCGTGTCTTTGTTGCAAAGCACCTGCCAGCTATTTGTAGGAGGATTTGTTGTGTGTTAAATGGGGTGTTAATGGACCTGAACGTTGGACATCAATGACCAGTCCGTTGGGCATTGAATCGTCCATAAACTGTCCATTTAACGCAGCATTAAAAGAGAAGAACGTTGGGCATTAATAGTTGTAACGGAAGAAATGCGCGACAGAAGACCCCAACAGAACACCCCTTGGAGGGTTTCTGTCCGAACCCAACAGAACACCTCTTGGAGGGTTTCTGTCTGAAGCCAGCAGAACACCCCTTGGAGGGTTTCTGTCCGAAGCCAGTAGAACACCCCTTCGAGGGGTTTTGTCCGTAGCCAACAGAACACCCCTTCGAGGGGTTCTGGTCGAGGCATTCTGTCCGGAGCACTTCTGGGAAAAAATAAACGTTTCGGGAAGAAAACAAAAATTAACCGTATCTCTTGAGAGATAGATTTTTGGACGGCATTCGTGTCCGCAGGTCGCCCGCGCACACGAGTCGCGGTTTTTTTCTCGCGTTTCGGGATTTGATCGGCACCCCCCAGGGCGTAAGAGAGAGCCTTTCCCTTTAGGAATCTTAACTCCTTAAAAGAGGCTTCCCTTTATAAGGGGGTGAAAATCCCTTGAGTTTTTCGGTGTGGAATAAAACACACTAGAAACTCATCATTTTTCCCAGTTTTTCCATTTCAACGAGTGAACTTCGAGAATCAATTTCTTATTCACCCGTTATCCGTTTTGAGTGTACCACATATCGAATTGTAGCCCTTAACAAGGACAATCCGAAACCACTTTGACCCGACCCAAATCGGAAGTGGACCCCACTCAAATAATTGCCCCAAAATGACCATTTAATGCAATTTTCAACAC